TGAATATATTTTAAAATGTAATTTATTCTGCGATTTCAAAGCTGAATTTTTAGCATCGTTACTCCAGTCACATGATCCTTCAGAAATCCTTCAAATATTCAGATTTGCTGCTCAAAAAACATGTATTATTATTATTATGTTGAAAACAGCTGAGTAGAATTGTTTCAGGTTTCTTTGATGAATAGAAAGTTCAGAAGAACAGCATTTATCTGAAATATAATTTTTTTGTAACATTATTAATGTCTTTATCGTCAATTTAAAGCATCCTTGCTAAATAAAAGTATTAATTTCTATAATTTCCCAAGGAAAAAAAATATACTGACTCCAAGCTTTTGAATGGTATATGTAGCCTATAATGTTACAAAAGCTTTTTATTTCAGATAAATGCTGATCTTTGGATCTTTTTTATTGGATCTTTCTTACTGTTCAAACAAATTTTGACTGGTAGTGTATGTACAGTATGTATGTGCCACACTCAGGGGCTTCATGCACGCATGATTTTTGAGGGGGCACGAGTGGGGGGGTGGGGGCTCGTCATGCTTGTCATGTGACACAGCAGCCACAATAGCACTGTATAACTGATATAGGCTTGTGTTTTATTTATTTATTTTTTCCTTTTTATTCGAAATATTTCCAAACGTGTATCAGGAAATATCTCGATTCTCAAACAAGTAAGTAAATGCGTTTTTGTACCAGATTGTTATTTGTGGGTGACAAAGTAGAGTAATAGTGTAATCTATTAACTACACATAAAAACCCGACTTTTTACTTAAATAGGCCTACCAGATATGGGTGTCGTGCCATAAAATATTTTTAACACGACTAACTTTTTATTTAATGTGAATTTAATAACAATATTGTAAGTTAGGCTACTATATTAGGCTATAATATTTTCATTTTACAGAGAACAAAGAATATTTAAATTATCAAAGAACATTTTCACTTCAGTCTAGCCAGAGTTCAGGCACTCTCAAAAACTCCCATTTAAATGAATATCTTACTTACATTCGTAGCACATCTGCACAGTCAGCGAGCGAGCGAACAAAACGCCGCGTTTCAGCGATGACTCATCGGAACGCCTCTGATTGGCCATTGCATTCATAAGCTCAGCAGACTCGTGTGTGATTGGTTATAATGCAGCGCTGTACAAACGCGTCTGTCTCTGGCTCAGCGCCAGCCAAAGCGCAAACGCAGATTTGAATAGCAGCTGATGCTGTGCCGCACTAAACGATCTAATCACACCGGTGTGATTGTATCAAATATAAAAATACTTCATCGCTCTGTCTACAGCGCATTTTGATTGGATGTTTACGCTGTCAATACAGGAGACAAACCAATGGGCCTCTGGCTGCTCGCTGTCCGTGCGTGATGGTCCTCGGCCAAAAAAAAAGTGCTTCCTCGGCACCTTAAATGCGTCAGCCCACCGGGAAACCGCCCGGTATGCCCGATTACCAATCCAGCCCTGGTTATGAATAAACTAAACATTGTGAATTTTTACCTCAGTGTGTTTCTTCTGAGTTTGTGTGTTTAGTATTGGATGAATCATCAACATTTTGATCCACGACATTCTAATTTATTGAGATGCACTTGTATATATATTTCACACACACACACACACACACACATAAAACTGATCCCTGGAAATATTCACAAGAATGTATTTTAATGCAGGTAAAGGCAGTTTAAACGTCATCTGCCATAGCTGCTTGCTTCAGTAATGATAATAATATGATTTCTTTTTAAACGAAGGAAGTGAGTGTTTTTCACTCATGCTCAACACATTGTGCTTTTCTGACAGCCGGTGAGGAGGCCATTACAATAGTCCACCCTGTAGAGCTAAACAAACGGAAAAAAAGAATCGAGTATTATTAAAAAAACAAGTCGCCTATACAACAACGAAGAAAAATAATACTACTTACGCACAACTGTTTCTTGTGTGCTGTCACGCTCATTAGTTCTGAAGTCTCTCACAAAGAGCCAAACAGAGCCTCAGCGCGAGCTTGTATTCTGTATTCTGCGAACTTACTGCAGTTCTCTCTGAAGACGCAGTGATTTACCGCGGGGAAGAACACATCTTCGGTCTGTCCAATGACTGTAAACAGTCACTAGCTCCGTCAGACTGAAGATATTTTAGCGGTAATGTGACCAAAAATATTTAAGAATCCGATAACCCATAGAATCCGAATTTAATACTTTTTAAGGCCTTATATTAGGAAACCGTTATTTAAGACTTTTTAAGGACCCGCGCACACCCTGCTAAATGTTCATTGCATTGGCAACCACAATGATATTTTCTAATTCATACACTAGGTGTCACTGTAGCTCAGTGCATCCTCTGAGAAGTGTGGTTTGGCGAGTTCAATCACCAGGAAAATCTAATGCAAACATTAAAGAACATTGCAAATCAAAACCAGCGTAAACAGGTACATTAACAGAAGGGAAACTGCCCTGTTGTTTTCTGCCACCCTGTATTGTTGTATCACACCAATTATATTATGATGTTTGAACAAAAGTAATACGGAAAATAATATATAATACATATAGATAATATGCTTCAGGAGAAATCAATAAAACATTTCATCTGAATATTTAATAAAATCCCACCACTTGTACTTCATTATCTCTGTGGAGCTTTAAATCAGTTCACAAGAATGTGTGCATGTGATATACATACAGTTCTGTCCTTGTCTGTGTACTCTATACCAAGAGTTTCCATTGCTCGCAAGATGGTGCCAAGACTCTGAATGGTGTTGCTATAGACCACAGGTTTAAACTGCTTTATGTCGTCTCCAGAAAACCCATCTTCATGGATAATCCTGACGCAGACACACAACAGAGAATAGCCATTATTGAAAAAAAAAAAATAAATAAAAAATTATATAT